TAGTTTTCGACCCTTTATCTCAAAAATTTTTTGAGCCTATTATCATTAATAAAACATACAAAAAATCGCGATGAAAAAATTTTAGAATTTTTCTTCTTTTTTTTAAGGTTTGTACAGACGTAGAAAAATTTTGTTGATTAATGCCACTTCTAGACTGCTGTTCCCTGTTCCTTCCCCTATAATTTGCACGTCCATGAAATTCGTTTCGATGATCGGTCGCAAAGTTCCGAGCTATCAAAGCCGAAATGACGCTTTTTCCTTTGATAGTCATTATCTCATGAACCCACCATCGAACAAAAATTAAGGACGGTTCCAGAAAGCAAAGAATATACCCTTTAAGATGGGTATATCAGTTTTTGGATAGTTTTTTTTTGATGCGTGATATTGATACCCATCTTAAAGGGTACACTCTCCGTTTTCTGGAACCGTATTTACAATTTTTGTTCGATGGTGGGTTCATGAGATAATGACTATCAAAGGAAAAAGCGTCATTTCGGCTTTGATAGCTCGGAACTTTGCGACCGATCATCGAAACGAATTTCATGGACGTGCAAATTATAGGGGAAGGAACAGGGAACAGCAGTCTAGAAGTGGCATTAATCAACAAAATTTTTCTACGTCTGTACAAACCTTTTTTCTACGTCTGTACAAACCTTAAAAAAAAGAAGAAAAATTCTAAAATTTTTTCATCGCGATTTTTTGTATGTTTTATTAATGATAATAGGCTCAAAAAATTTTTGAGATAAAGGGTCGAAAACTAAAGACCTGAAGCTGCAAAATGACTATTCTGGATGTCTTCTGTGATGAATTTCAACGGAGGCAGAGCAATTTGAAAATGGCCTAAAAATTTAAGGAATTTTTCTGTTCCCTTAATTTTTTTGACTAGTGTATTAACATTTTCACGTTGTAATAAAAAACGTACGTTTAGAAAATGATTTTCCTATATTTTACGTGTTAAATGTTATTATTCTAAAATATCTCGGTTTTGGTATTGTTAGAATATTTTAAATTTGACTAATCTTTATAAAACAATACTATTTACGTCTAATTAAGTTTTAAAGCAGTACGTTTGTGATAGAACCATCTTAGCGGAAAAGGAAAGGTTGAAAAAAGACTTTCATCTTTATAATGTTCTTTCTTTCTTTCAGACATACGGCTGCAGCTGAACGAACAGCTGAGATGTCTCGACATCAGGATGGAGGCCCAAGTCGCCCTCGTGGCGGAGCTTCAGGATTTTTTTCGAAGAAGAGCCGAGCTGGAGCTCGATTACAGCAAGTCTCTAGACAAGATGGCCAGAAGTATACAGCTCAGACACAAAGAGCAAAAGCAAAAGTGCGTAGTTTATCTTTTAAAATTATAATATTGTTTGTGAACAATTAAAATTGAATTAATGGGTTAAAGAATATTCATATAAAGCATTCATATGAAGATCAAAATATAAGCATATACTTATAGAAAAATATACATCTAAAGACGATATTTTGAGGAATTGAAGAAAGAGATTTAATTTTCGTATACCATTAAGTGTTACCGCAATTTAAGCGTTGCTATGATAGAATATTAAACTCATCATACTACGATATAAGCATATTCTTACTATAAATATTTAAAAAAATTTGAAACACAATTATCTCAAATATGAGGCAGTTTCATTGATTAATATTTTCCACTTTTATTTCCACGTAATGTTACTCTAATTCGCGTTAGCATAATATAATCTGTAACCAGTGAGGTGCAGTTTCCATTGCGCACTTAAGTTTCATCTAATTAGCAGTCTAATTCTTGTTTGTAAATTTTTAATTGCTAAATAAATACCACCGTAATAAATAAGATTCATGCATAGATTAAAAAAAGCAACATCAGAGTATAGATGAACTTTCTTGTTTTTCTACTTACCATTTACGAGTTAGATCTAATATATGCAATAAAATAAGAATTTAATATAAAAATAAGATGTGTATTATTGCAACTGATTCGGCACTGTTTTCACCATAAACGCGATGATTGCCTCAGCTGTGCGAGATTTAATCATTTGAGCCGACTTCCGCATGGTACATATTACCAACCAGTTGACGTGAAACCTGATAAAATTGATCAGGATAGTGTAAAAACTGATTAAAGTGAATCCTAACTTAGTTAATCTGATGCAACATCCTATATTAATGGTGACGAATTTGCAACGTACATGTCGAGGATAACATATATGGAAATTTCTTTATCGCGTCAATGATTTACAGACCTCTCCTAAGCTGGCTTATTTTATACTAATTTGTACTACAAAAAGTAAGTTTGTACTTCACACCGTTTTCGAAAAAATCGTGGTGCTAATAACTTAATATTGAATTAGCAAGATTAAATATCAAAATTGAAAAAATGAAAAAACAAAGCGGGTACATCCAGTACTAAATTTGTATTAATTTGTACTATTTAAACTAATTCTCATCTTTTCCATTTTGCCTTTTAAACAGCTCTTATCTTTCAATCTGAACAAGAACAAAAATTCATTTCTGTTATAATCATTTAACATTGATGTGGAAACAATCGAATTGAATTGGGTCTGCAAAATTCGAGAATGATTCTCAACGAGGCTTCTCGACGATAATTCACACACACAAACACACACAAAAAAGGCTCTTGTCAGAGCCATATGATGTGCAAAATCTGTCCAGCAACCTCAACCGTGCATATCGGATAATGCTAATGCCGGCGGTATATGCCATAAATGCAAGGGTTTCTTTAAAGTTCTGTATCTTTGCTGAAAAAATGGTAGCGATTTTTCACATACTGGAAATTAAAGATGAAGTTTTGGACTTTATGCTGCTGTAAACAGTATCACCAAAACAAAATGTAGCAAGTCCATGCATTTCGTCAAACTTTGTAATTTTCAATATTGCAAACATGACCTCACATTTACGGTGTTATTGTGGTAGGGATGCATCACATCTACAATCAAACTACAGGGTCTTAAAGTAGAGATCTCAAGCTTTAATTTAAAAAAAGGAGCATAACTTTGCGATGATTTTTCACGGAGTTATCATCAATCAAATTTGACCAATTTTTGCCTAAAATTTTTCTATGCCACATTTCTTTTGAGCAGTGTATATGTTACTATAATATAATGTTTTCAACAAATTATGTTTTTCCCCAAAAACGATTAACGAATCAGTATATAAAGCTACGGAGAATCGGTATCCTTAAACAAAAGTGTCATTGTTGCGCAGTTCAATTTAAAAAAAGAAAATGTACTTACGTTTTTTGTTCCCTTAATGAACTTCATACTTATTTTTACATAGATCAGTTCGTCGGAATATTCTGTGCATACAAGTATTAGTATCTAATAGAAACATATTATAATTAACAATTTCTTAATGTTCAACGCATGTCAAAGTATTTATACTTCTCGAAATCATTCAACTTCTATATGAAATATTTTTAAGTATCAATAATTTAGTAGATATTTATTAGGACAGATGATGAAATACTATACAAGAATCTATATTTTCTGAATGCATACTATTTGATGTTTCATATGTCATCAATGTTTTTTGTAAGCGTACTAGTCATATATGAAAAGCTCGCAAACTACATAAGTTAAATTTCTTTTTATACGAGTTTAGCCAATTTCTATTTTATTGTTTATTTTAGAATTTAGTTTTGATTTGAAGGAAAGATAATTAGAATAGATATTTTTAATTTTTGTTTACATTTACTTGAATAAATGTCTTTGGTTAAAGCGCTAAACAAAAATTTTACGCAAAAAATGTTTGAAAGTATTAAATTTTTTTTATCCTCTTTTATATAATTTAGAATGTTGTCTCAATAAATACTATTTCTACGTATGAATTTTTTAAGAAATGTAAATATAATTACGCAAAGTAATTCAACTTCCACTGGCATAGACTTTCTTTTTATTGTTTCGTACTAATTTACAATTTGATTGAATATAGTATTCTCTCCACAAGTGTCAAACCTTCGAGTCTGGAGTTTCACATTTTAGAATATGTATACACTACATTGTTTGTAGTGAGCCGAACGTACAAAATGATAGCAACACAAAAACAAAGAGGGACTGACGTTCGGGATGTTCGGCAAACATGAAAAACTCGTGTGTATTCTGTCTTTTAAATAAAAAAATCAAAAGCCTTTAGTTTTGGTTTTTTCATGAACAAAACTTTTACCATCGTATTCATCTCATCTTTTTGATTAAAATGACACCAAACACTATATAATTGCGATTATAATTACTGGTGTTGCAAACCATAAAAGTTTTGGACTTTCACATGTTCGACAAACTTTACATTTACGGTAGCGATATGAATTTTTCCTAACGGCTTGTTACACAAGTAATTATGGTCTTAATTACATCGTGTTTGGTATCATTCTGACCAGAAAAACGAGGCGAATGAGATAATCAAAGTTTCATTCACGAAAAACCAACAATAAAGAATTTTAACTTTTTCATTTTAAAGACAGAACACGCACGAGTCTTTCATGTTTGTCGCACGCTTCAACCTTCTGCCTCTCTTTCTTTTCCATTCACCATCCTCTTTCACGTTAAAAACTTTAATCACCCGTTACACAAGTAATTATGAACATGATTATATTGTGTTTGGTGAGTCATCTTAATCAGAAAAAGAAGATGAATACCATGGTACAAGTTTCATGAAAAAACAATAAGAAATATGAAAATTGCAATCTTTTCCTTTACTTACTGTATGTGTCTCACTGATATTCGATCCTCGTCGTTTCGGCAATTGATCGTGTTTGACAGTCGACTCATTCCGTGGGGTTCCCCCAATAGTGGGGATAAAACTTTTACGCTTACGGTAGAGATTTTTTTTCACACTTACGGAGAGAATACTGTAATGAATTTTGATTCACTGGTAAATCAGGACCTTCGGTGAGGATTGTGACCAAGTTCGTGCAAGACCCGGTCACTTTCACCTCATTGCCACTTGATGTTTTCCAGGCCCGTAGTAACGGCATGTTAAATAGTAGTTCTTATAATAATCTGCGATGCGCATTCTTTCACGGTTCTGGGTTAAGTATCTTGCCGTCTCTCAAAGTCCTCTTAACGAAGGATGCAATATCCTCCCCACTCTGTGACCAGATCCTACTAGAATACCCTAATCTCTGTGCATGTGCCACGCAGCACCATGACGTCGGGTCATCGGCCACGAGGCACGACACCTTCGGTGATCCTCAAAGGAAAAGGCATCAACCTCTAACCATAACATTCGCGACTCTTAGAATTTTTCGCGGTCCGTAGATATCGGTTACCACACCACCGATCCTTAGCTCGATGACGGACATAAGTTTATATTATTGTCATCCCAAGACCCCTGAGAACCGGGTCAAAATCCGAGATACGATGACCCTGACACGTGTGCCACTTTTGCACACGGCTTGACGCTAACAGGCAAGCTTGTGTTTTTTCCAAAAGTGCAAAGTGAGGATGCGTTCCCCATAAAACATTGGGGAAGGCACGGGAACAATGCATTCTGTGGACAACTTTTTTAGAGAACGTGAAGAAAGAAATCGAACGATAATAATTTTTGTAAAAGTTTCTGTGTAAAATATAGGCATCCTTACACTAGAAAATGTATCCACATAATCCCTCGCAAATCAGTCGAATGTTAGCGACATAGAGTCACACTTGTTTGTTAATGTCAATCTTGTTTATTTACATTAGCATCTGTTTCAAATTTAAATGTGCGAATATTTATTGCTGCCCAAAAATAGTTAACTACCACGTGATGAAGTCTACTAGTGAGTGTTGTACTCATAAAAACTCCATTTTTTTAATCATTGAGCTTCATGGTCAATTTCATAAACTCGTTTTATTCAAAAATAAATTTTAATGAGTACACCACTCACCACTAGACTACACTACAGGGTAGTCAGGTATTTTTGAACAGCAATAAATATCTCATATTTAAGAAAGTCGAATTTTGAAAGGTGCAAGTTTGAGACAGATGCTAATGTAAACAAATAAGATGGCCGTAAACAAGCAAGTGCGACGCTGCACCGTTCGGCAAAAATATGTGCGAAATTAAACTCTATAATTTTTTATAGATATAATATTATTTTATAGATATAATATTATTTCCGACAGCTGTACATTTGTAGATCATTCACAATAAAACGTTTAGTTTTCTTCGGTCAAAAGATTGTAAATACATACATTATTTTTATAAATACTATCAAGTATACCTACTTAAGACTTATTCAATTTGCTTAAAAATTGTTAACTATCTCGTTATCTAAATCATTGAATATCTGTCAAAAAGAGAATACTTTTAGGAGAAAATTTACGATTGACTTGATGTAGTGTAGAAAATTCCATCAAGTAAGATTAAAGTACAAATAAAATTTACTCGGAAACAGAATCGTTAAATTCTTTCAACAGAACTAATAAGATTGCAGGTTATACACGAGGATTATGAACAATAGTTAATAGCTGATTATCTGATAATAATAGTATATGACTGCTTCAACCCTTCGTTGAATTTTGTTGTAAATATGCTACATAAAATAATATACTGTAAAATTATTGTATTTCATCAACTATAAATAAGTCTTGAATTTCGAAATTATTTCAAATAATTTTCATCTATCGTAATCATAATTTTTCATTGTTCTTTCACAAAATCTTGCAAATATTCAATATAATAACATTTTTCGTTGAATAATTTTTTTAATAAAAAATACTTGCTTGTTCTTGTTATCTTAATATTACATACTTGTAAAAGTGGTGTAAGGGTAATCAGGAATGTTATTGGTGAGGTATACTAAATAACTTGTGGGCGATTTTTAAAAGTAGACTGGCAATGCTTTACTAATGATGTTTCGCGGCAAAAGCCAATACAAGAATGTCTTTCTAGACATGATCCCGTCTTGAGGACACCCCCGTCAGCATGGCTGTTTATGGCACTTAGGCTCAGCAAAGTTTCCCTGAGAAAGGGGAATGCACTGACAAAAAGCGCGTGGCCCGTGCCGACCGTTCGTCGATTTTCTATTTCCTTACAATGGAAAAATGCATTTTCTATCAAAAATCATAAAAGTGTTAATATTATACAAATTTCGTATCCGGCATTTTAATTAATTAAATAATTTCTAGGCGAGAACAGTGGCCCCTATTCTCCAGCTACGCTTGCTGGCAACAACTTATCAACGAAACAAAGTCCTTAAGCAGAGATCATGCAGCACTTTCGGAGGTCTACAGCACACATCTCGTTGGTCGTCTCAACCAGGTGATGGAAGACGTACAGCGGATATACAAACGAGTAAGTATAATCTTAAGATAGCAAATAGTAAAATTGATAATAGGAAAATTTTAATGGCGAATGCACTCCAGAGCCTATTCGTTGAGGTAAATTTTCCAATGGTCAAATAAGTAAGGATAATTACAATTTAAGAAGATTATAAAAGATCATTGAACTTTCTTATATAATTAGTCAATGTAAAATTATAATTAAACACGTTTATCCAAAAGGGCAGAATATTTGCTTTTTTAATTTTTTATTTAAAAAGCTTTAAGTTAGTTAAAATCTGAAAGTATTCATGTGGCCTAGCAATTAAACAATATCTTTTTGTCTATCTATCTTTCTTACTTTTCTTTTCCTTCGTCGAGACTATTAAAATATTATAAGGAAAAAGGCTTTGAAATATTAGAAGAACGAAATTATCATTCGTTCACATCTAAAAACTAAGAAAAGAAGAAATAAGTATACGACAATCTAGTATTTACTAAGGAAAAGAAATTTAATTTAGATAACTCTAATGAATACTTATTTTACTTCCACAATTTTGGGAGGAAAGAAAAGATTTCGTCATGAAGATAACATGGAAGATGATCAATAATGATTTGCAAAACTACAAATTTTGTAGTCGTCGCACAGTGGCAAAAAACGGCGAAAACATGGACAAAAGTCAAAAAATGAAAATCGCAATTCTTGAGACCCGTTCAGTGGACCTAGTTTATAACGAATCTGTGCGTAATGTTCTCTTTTAATGATTTTATTATTACCATTTCGAAGATATGAGCCTCTAAAGTTGAACATTTTTTAAAGTCAAGTTTTCCGGGCAAAGTTTAACATAATACTGTTCAATATTTTTTAAATATTATGTTCATCCAGTATTATTGGCTTTTTACATGATACTTTAGTATTATAATTATGTAAGTTGCACATCAAAATGTTTATTTTAAACACTGATATAAACTAAAGAAAGAGATATAAGCTATAGACATATTTAATGTTTATTCAAGGTAACAGTTGCGATTTTCACCTCGACTCACCCACTATATAGGCTCCAATGAAAGCTGGAAGCTTCCCGAGCAAGGATCTGTAACGATATCTTGTGGTAATTTGCAGGTTTTTGAGTTATTCACATTTTTGTTCACACACGCGCTTTATTATCATTCGCGACAACAGTATTTTCGGATGTTTTTCAAATATGTCGTCGCTGACCTTTGCAAAAGGTCCTGTTTTGTAAGTAATACTTCTAGCTACATATCCATTTATATATATTACATATTAGATATTTAAACTTTATACAAAAGTTTAAAAAATAAAAATTTATTTAGAATTTTTGATATTAGTGTGGGAATTAAATCAAAGGTTTTAACAAAACACACAAAATAATTTATTTTTAACAAAACGAAACTAACACGGATAACAACAAAACTTTTAATTAACTGTTTTTAACGAAATTAATACACTCAAACGCTATTTCTAATTGTTCTCGATAACTTTCTCGTATTTCTATTCATTCTCGACAACTTTCTCGAAACGTCTTTCGCCTCTGAAATTCGCTCAGAGATTGCCGTTTTTTTCTCCGCGCTTCTTTGTCTCGCTATCAATTTTTAAACATATCGGTAACTCTCGAACACAACATTCACAACTATTTACAATCGATTCTCTCAAACACAATATTCACAACTATTTACAAATAATTCCACACTCCACATTAGAAAATTAATTTGAGAATGAAAAAAAATAATTATGATAGTTTAAATATTCAAGATTTTGGCGGTTCAGCAAGCTATGGTAAGGAGCTAGGAAAAGTAAAGGAGAGGGAGAACGTTTCGTCCGGGGCCTGCTAGTGGACTCATCAGTAAGGCGTTCTAGCAGGCCCTTGCCTTAGACGCGGGGATGTAAGGAAGGGATGGACAGGAACTATACATATATATGAATAGGAAGGCTTTTGGAGTACTAGCGAGAAAGTCTAGGTCTCGATTCTATGCGCCGTCTAGTAACGATGAGCGTGGGAGTGAAACCGCCACAAAGATTAAAATGAAAATTAGTTTCCGAGATAAAAATTCATACGCATTAGTTAACTAACCGTATTCGTTAACTAACAAGTCAAAATTCGATTTTCAACACGAAAAATTAATTTGTAACATTAATACAATCATCTTGTCAAAAAACATTTGAATAATTTATTTCAGTCATTGGTTTAAAAGTAAGAAAAGGGCAACAAGATGCATAAAATATTCCAAGATATGAAAATCAACAAAAACTAAAATTGTTCACATAACCTAATATCATTAATGGATATATCATCGGGATAATGGGATCAGCCAGTTGAGTTAATTAAGAACAAATATAATGATCAAAGAATAATTTATATAAATTGACTAATACTGTTAATAGATTCTGAACAATATCTGAAAGTGTTTAGAGGCACCTATCCATATAAATTTATACGAGTAATTGTCAGTGTATTGGACAGAAAGATCTTGTAAATGCTATTAAGGCCGAATGGAAAACAAGATTAAATTCCTGTACAGATATTGAATCTAAGTTATTATGTATCTTATATATCAAAAAGCCTAATAAAGTATTTTCGTTATTAAAATTTTATATTTTTATATTTTATATTATTCAAGCGACACAAGTATTATCGAAACGTAAATATATTCATTACATTGAATATATTACCTTAAAAAAATAAAACTTATGAAATTTAGATGGAACGTCGCAAACTTTATATGAAGGACGATTTGTCAAGACAAAAAAACCGACTATCTGTTCTATTTCATTAAACTTTTTAACCGACTTCGAAAAAGGAGGAGGTTACTCAATTCGATCAGTATATTTTTTTTTTTTTTTTTTTTTTTTTTTTTTTTTTTTTTTTTTTTTTTTTTTTTTTTTTTTTTTTTTTTTTTTTTTTTTTTTTTTTTTTTTTTTTTTTTTTTTTTTTTTTTTTTTTTTTTTTTTTTTTTTTTTTTTTTTTTTTTTTTTTTTTTTTTTTTTTTTTTTTTTTTTTTTTTTTTTTTTTTTTTTTTTTTTTTTTTTTTTTTTTTTTTTTTTTTTTTTTTTTTTTTTTTTTTTTTTTTTTTTTTTTTTTTTTTTTTTTTTTTTTTTTTTTTTTTTTTTTTTTTTTTTTTTTTTTTTTTTTTTTTTTTTTTTTTTTTTTTTTTTTTTTTTTTTTTTTTTTTTTTTTTTTTTTTTTTTTTTTTTTTTATTATTATTTTTATTTTCTATGTGTGCCCGCCTATTACGCCTAGCTGAATGCACCGATCGGAACGAAACCTTTTGCATCTGGTAGGTTCTGACTCCCCATTGGTACCATTATCAAAAAATTTTTCATTTTTCAATTGCAAAGTGTTGTTATTGCAAAAAAACCGGCAACTTTTGAAATAAACTTTTCTCGATTTTAGTGCGCTTTTAATATCTTATCACGGACATGATTCTGAACAATTTTGTTCATATAAAAATTTCGCGGAAAGCTTTAGTTTTCGAGATATTAGCGAAAAATTGTTGAAAAGTTTTGAAATCAACTTTGGACGATTTTAATGTCCTTTTAATATGTTATCAGGGGCACGATTCTGAACAACTTTTTCCTTATCCGCAATTAAGGGGAAGCTTTAGTTTTCGAGTTATTAGCGAAAAACTATTGTTACTAATACAGTATTCACTCCGTAAATGTTACTTTTGCCGGTCTCGATTGTACATTTACGGTAGAGGTCCTACATTCTTTGTAGTGTGCCGAACGTAGAAAGAGACAGCCATACAAAAGACAAAGAGGGATAGAGTTTCGAGCGTTCGGCAAACATGAAAGACTGCGTGTTGTGTCTTTTAAATTTAAAAATTAAAATTCTTTATTTTTGGTTTTTCGTCAATGGAACTTTTACCATCGTATTTGTCTCGTTTTTCTGATTAAAATGACACCAAACACGATATGATTACGATCGTAATTACTTATGTAACAAGCCATAAAAGTTTGGGATGTAACATTTACGGTAGAGGTGCGAATTTCTTCTAAAGGCTTGCTATACAAGTAATTATGATTTTAATTATACCGTGTTTGGTACCATTTTAATCTTAATCAGAAAAACAAGACGAATACGATAATCAAAGCTTCATTGATGAAACCCCAAAAATAAAGAATTTTTATTTTTTAATTTAAAAGACAGAAGACGCACGAGTGTTTCACGTTTGCCGAACGCGTCAACCTTCTGCTTCTCTTTCTTTCCTATTCGCCGTCCTCTTTTATGTTAAAAACTTTAATCACTCGTTACACACACAATTGTTAACGTAATTATATCATGTTTGGTGTCATTTTAATCAGGAAATCTAGACAAATACAACAGTAAAAGTTTCATGAAAAAATAGTAAGAAATAAGAAAGTTACAATCTTTTCCTTTGCTTGCATTAGTTGTGTCTCACCGATATTCGATCCTC